TTGAACAGGGCTAGAGAATGCGTGTTTTTAATCGTTTTCAATTAAAAAAATGTTACAGCACATGTATATTTTACCTAAACTGTGCCTGAATGAATATATTCTCAGAAATGAATAGTAGTTTTGCATTGATGTATTTCAATGTAAAATAGGATAAAATACATGACAAAAACAAAAGACTTTACCTAACCTTCCAATGTTCAAGAGATGTTACTAGTTTTTTAATAGTTTTCGGTTAAAATACAGGTTGTACCTCTCTAGTCCGGCAACCTCGGGACCTGACGGTTGCGGACCATGGAAATTGCGGACCATGGAAATTCACCCTTTTCCTGGATAGATAGTGACTTGTTCTTATGCCTGGAAGCACTAGCACCACTTTCTCTTCGTCATGGTCTCTTTGAAGAACATATTGAAGGGTTAAATGTACATAGTAGCTTTTCAAATTTAGCGAGGTTTTAATTCTTACGTATTTTATTGGAACACAAAAAATAAATAAATAAAAAATTTGGCGGAAACTTGAATTTCGGCCGGGTTTGAACGGCTGCATAAGCGTGCAGAGCGGCGTGCATAATCGTGTAAACAGCGTCATTTCTCTTATGTACAAAAGATTCATTATTGTTTATTACTGAATGTCTTTTTTTTTGAATTAATGTTTATGTGTGCAAAATGAGCAATACAATTCATTAATAATGCGTAGAATATTAAAACACACGAGGAAATGACACAGCATTGTTTTGGGTGAATTACAAAACCAGTGACTGACTGGTTCTACATATAAAACTGAAGAAAATAAGACCTTGGTTGTAGCTGTAGTAAAATTAATATGGTTGTTTTAAGTAATGTTATTTAATGTTAATAAATGGAACAATAGAAGTGTGAACGATAATGGTAAAAGAATGCATATGTAAGTCGCATCTTTTACATGAAACACTATCGTCATTACTTTACATAAGAATATGAAAGCAACACTTATTTACTGTTCATATATATTTTAATTAATGTTTCTGAATTTGTTTTATTGAATTAATGTATGTGTGTGCAAAATTAACAATACAATTTATTAATATCGTGGAATATTAGAGGAGACAAGGCGGCCCGGCATTGTTTATGTTAAAGCTACGAAACCAGTGACTGATTGGTTCTACATATAAAACTGAAGAAAATAAGACCCTGAGTTTAGCTGTAGTAAAATTAATGTAAAAATGAATATGGTGTAGGTACCTGTAATGTTATTTAATGTTAATAAATGGAACAATATAAGTAGCTAACCATTAATGGTAAAAAAAAGTGAGACTGCTTGTATGTAAGTAAGCACATGTGAAAATATATCGTCATTACTCTACATAAGAATATGAAAGCAACACTTATTTACTGCTCATATATATTGAAGGGTTAAATGTTGTACTCTGTATAGACAAGCAGAGAGAGAGAAACCCGAACTGCTGGATGTAAACAAATTAATTTCCGCGGCTTTTTTTTTTTTAAAGGATTAGCCACGGGCATAGGTCACTGACCACATTGGGGCCTGAGGGCAAAAATTTAATACTCCTGTAATAATAATAATAATTCAGATAAGTAAAAGCTGCCTATCTACCTTTTGGACAAACTAAAATCGTTTGCGGACCACGAGTTTCCGGACCACAGAATGCCGGACTAGAAGGTACAACCTGTACTGTTATATTACAATGATATTATATTCATACTGTGCTTGATACTACTACATTCACAGAAATGTAATATTTTTGCTGAAATGACGTCGTATTACAGTGGAAAGTGACGAAAACAATGACTTTCGCTTTCTTTCGTTCAAAAGATGTTACCGTAATCGCTTTTGAATGGTTTTCAGTTAAAAAACTGTTGCATCACAAGTGAATTGGATAGAATATTATTGTAATACAACAGTTTTTAACTGAAAATCGGCGATTCGGTAACATATTTTGAACAGCGAGTCATTGCTTCGTCACTTTCCACTATATCGTGCGTCATTTCAGCAAAATATTACATTCCATATTCTCAGAAATAAATAGTAGTTTTGCTGAAGCGTAATGCATTTCAAAGTACAGGTTGTGATAATTTAAGTGGTTGCTCAGAAGTTGTGGTTGCAGTTGCAAAGCTGTGTGACATCACTAGTGTATACAGCTCCTCCCCGACTTACGACCTACTCGACTTATGACCACTCGCACTTACGACCTGCCTCAGTCGTAGCAAAATTTTGTCAAATTACGTATTTTTGAATCCCAACGTCAGTACACAGAGAAAATTTTCGTTTGTAATTCACTTTAAAATGGACGGCAAGCTTAAAAGTGAGAGTTTTGTGGTGCTAAGATGAAAAAGAAACACCCATTTTAGATTTTCTATGTATTATTCAAGCATTTTCGACTTGCGACCTGGATTTGGGTCCCTAACCCCGTTGTAAGTCGGGGAGGAACTGTAATGTGTCTCCATATGCAGTGCTTATTCATTGATCAGTTGTCTAAGGGAAAAGGTAGCCCTGTTGAGCTATCATGTATCAATTAATTTTAAAATAGAAATTATAATGTAAAATGTTATAAGACAATGGTTTAGTAGTGCTGTTAATGTGTGTGCTCTGTAGGTGTCTTGGTATCTCACCTGACTCCTGAACAAACTCTTCATCAAAACACACACACGGGAATTAAGACAACAAACATCCAGTGAAGGTCTTGTTGTGTGACTGCATGGAGGCGAATTAAAAGATCAGCTGTTGAGCAGCTTATTGCTTGGCAACACTGGTGCATGTTATCACTCCTTTCCACTCCATCTCTCTAATCACCCACTCCTTTCTGCTTTCTCACTCCATATTTTAAAATGTTATGTTATGTAATGTAATGTAATGTAATGTTGAAGGGATACAACTTTGTTCATTTATACTTATACTTATCACAATTTCCCTAAAAATACCTGACATTCCATCAGGTCAGTAATATGAGACCACTAATCCACCCCTCTATCTCCACCTGACATTGAGTCAGGTCAGGTCCCCCCAAAAAATACTTTAATTTTCATGTACAGTAATACCCCGCTTAACGTGGTTTCGCTTAACGCGATTTCGCATATACGCGGTGCCTCGCCAGAACCGAACTTTCACTTAACGCGGTTCATCTACCCATATACTGTACGCGCAGAGTGTCCGGCTCGAGACGCTATTTTTAGATTCGCCCCACCCGCCACCCGCTCCCGCCTGCCTCGCCTCCTCCTCCTCCCTCCCTCCCCTCCCGCCTCCCTCCGCCTGGGCAAGCCGCGCTGTAAGGTTGCGCAGTGTGTCTTTGTTGCGTTATCACTGACATCATATGACATATCGGACTGTGATTGGCCATGCATCCTTACCTCCCTCTGCTGCTAGCTGTAATTGGTTTAAAGTAATATGACGTGTCCACCCGGGGGGGGAGGGATGGAGGAAAGAGGACGCTGCCGCGGTAGTTTCATCACTCCCGGCCACCCAGTGTATATGTGCATCCATTGTTCTGTGAAATGGCTTCCGCCGGACCACCACCGCCACCAGAGAGAAACCTTTCCTTACCTGGACCCAGCCGCCCTAAGCCCAAGAAGACACGTCGTGGCCTAAGC